GCACACAGCACCCCATACGTCTTCTAGGAGTCCTGGTGTGGCGCTGTGGGTTAATGCACCAGACTGCAAAGCCGTTTGAACTGCAAGGTCGGTGGTTTAAGCTCACCAGCATCTCCTCAGAAACCCTGTATACAGAGTTGCTATTGGTCGGAACCGACTAACGGCACTAACAACAATGACAATACCTCTTCTAAGACAAATTTATGTGCTAGTTTGGCAGCCATGGTAGATTCAGTATACTTCACCTATACCATGATTCAAAGGCATGAATTCTTCTCTGTTCTTATTCAAAACCCAGCTTTCACAGCACATAAAGTAACTGGAAATACCATGGCGGGTCAGGAACCTTAAGTGCCCCCCACCACACACACAGTGACACTTCAACTTGCAGCAGAATTGTCTAATGCAATATATCATTTGATTTCTTAATTGCTGATTCTATGGGTGTTGATTATGATTTCAAGTAAAATTAAACCCTGGAGAACTTCTCCATGTATCATATTATTTTTATTGGTCAAGTTGTGGGGATTTTTGTTTTCTTCACATTGAGGTATGATTCACAAGGAAGGCTGTAGGTCTTAGTATTCATTAGTGAGTGCTTCAAGGCCTCTTTGCTTTTAGCAAGAAATGTTTTCTCATCTGCTTATCAGGTTGTTAATGCGTCTTTCAACCCTGATGCCATGTTCTTCTTCATATAGGCCAACTTCTCAGATTACCTGCTCAGTATACATACTGAGTAAGTATGATGAAAGGACACAAACCTGACATGAACCTTTCATGATTTTAATTGACACCGTATCCCCTTTGTTCTGCTGGAATGGCTGCCACTTGGCCCACGTACAGATTCCCGTTAGGCACAATTAAGTGTTCTGTAATACCCATGCTTTGCCATGTTATCCATATTTTGTCATGATCCACACAAGCATCTACATAGTCAATAAAGCACAAATAAACATCTTTTTGGTATTATCTGCCTTCAGCTAAGATCCACCTGACATGAGCAATGATATCCCATGTCCCCTTCTGAACCCAGTTTGAATTTCTGGCAGTTGTCTGTTGATGTACTGTTGCAACTATTGAATTATCTTTAGCAAACTTTTACTTATATGTGATACTGTTTGATGATTTCTGCAATCCAGTGGGTCACCTCTTTTTGGAATAGGCATAAATATGGAGCTCTTCCAATCAGTTAGCCAGGTAGCTGTTTTCCAAATTTCTTGGCATAGATTGAGTGCCTCCAGGGCTGCATCAGTTTGTTGAAAGATTTCAATTTAAACCCGTCAATTTCTAGAGCACTTGTTGTTCGTCAATGCCTTAGTTCAGCTTCAACATCTTCCGTCAGTACCACTGGTTCTTGTTCCTATGCAACCTCTTCAAATGGCTGAACATCGACCATTTCTTTGAGGACGGAAATAACATGTAATAACGAAGCTTGGTGTGGCACTGTAGGATAAGCACTAGATCCCAAATGTCGGTCTGAACTGCAAGGTCAATGGTTCAAACTCACCAGCTGCTCCTCAGAAACCCTACACAGGGTTATTATGAGTTGAAACCAACTCAATGACATGCAATAACACCTTTTTCTCTCTTATCCCATGTTTAATCTGTCAGCAATTCTTGCTGGTTCTACCTTCAAGGGGGATCCAACATGTATCCTGACTTTCCTGTATGAACTGTACCTTAAGGTATGAGTTTTTTCTTTATAGAAACATGCTAGCTAATAAATGAAAAAGGAATGACAAAATTACGTAACAATTTTTCTTCAAAACCTGAAGAGTAAGTAGACTTATTCACTGATCTCAACACAGAAAGAGCAACTGTCAGAGCTCAGGTGCCTCCTGGAAGAACTACCTGCACCTAACAAAGGAGGAGTTTTGCTATTGCCACAAAGGAAAACCAAATTTCAATCAGATCAAGTCCCCAGATGTAATTATTAACTTCTTGTTGTTAAGTGCCATTGAGTCGTTTCCAATTCATAGTGACCCTGTGTAGGGTTTTTGAGGAGTGGCTGGTGGGTTTGAACCACCGACTTTGCAGTTAAAATTGACCTTGCGGTCCAGTGCATTATCCGTAGTGCCACACCAGGATTCATTATTAACTTATAGAAACACAAAGAGCAACATGTTAAAACCATATAGACCACAGTGATGCAACAAGCAAAATTCACATTGGAACACTTGACAGAAACCAAATCACCAGTTTCTTCTTCAATAGTTACACTGCAAGGAGAAAGGGAGAGAGATAAAGGGAGAAACCTATAGATATAAGAGAAACTTAAGAAATCTATCAAGCAACAGTAATGTATGAACCTTATTTGGATTCTGATTAGAACCAACAGATAAAAAGTATTTTTAAAAATAAAACTGAAACAATTGAAAGTTTGAACACCTCCTAAATACTGGTATTATGAAAATATTGTTAATTTTTAAAGACATGGCAACAGAATGTGCCTATATTTTTTTAAGTGTCCTTATTTTTAAGGACAATGCTGAAATATTTATAAAAACCTTTAAAAAATAAAAAGCTGTACAGGTGTCAACTACAATCCAATGCTATGAATTCTAACACTGGCCTGTATAACATGCATTATAGGGAAATATTCACTTTCAGAAAATTAATAGAAAACAGTTATTTTCAAGAAGTCATGATATTGCTAAAAACTAAGAGCAAGACACAAAATTGCATTGCAGACTCTACACAAAGGTATGTTGGGTGGCTGTTTATAGTGGACTATTAACGAAAATATTGGGGTGCTGACCCACCCAGCAACCCACAGAGAAAAGTCCTGGCAATCTGCTTCCATAAAACATAGTCAGGAAAGCCT